AGGCCACAAGTAGGGAGCTGGATGGGAAGCAGGGCTGCTGGGATTAGAACCAGCACCCATATGGGATCCTGGTGTGTGCAAGGTGAGGGCTTTAGCCGCTAAGCTATCGCACTGGGCCCCTCCTGACCCTTTTAAATAGACTTGGTTTCAGTATTTTTTTTCCTTTCTCTTCTTTTCTTTTTTTTTTAAGGGCTATTTATTTGAAAAACAGAGCTACAGAGAAAGAGACCATTCATCCTCTGGCTCACTCCCCAGATGGCTGAAACAACCATAGATAGGCTGCTCCATAGTCAGGGACCTAGTGCTTCCATGTGGTTGAAGGGGCCCAAGCACTTGGACTATCCTACACTACTTTCCCAGGCTCGTTAGCAGAGAGCTGAATCAGAAGTGAAGCAGCGGGCCCGGCGCGGTGGCGCAAGTGGTTAAGTCCTCGCCTTGCACGCCCGGGATCCCACATGGGCGCCGGTTCTATCCCGGCGGCCCCGCTTCCCATCCAGCTCCCTGCCTGTGGCCTGGGAAAGCAGTCGAGGACGGCCCAAAGCTTTGGGACCCTGCACCCGCGTGGGAGACCCGGAAGAGGCTCCTGGCTTCGGATCGGCATAGTATCGGCCCGTTGCGGCTCACTTGGGGAGTGAATCATCGAACGGAAGATCTTCCTCTCTGTCTCTCCTCTCTGTATATCCGCCTTTCCAATAAAAAAATAATAAAAATAAATCTTTAAAAAAAAAAAAAAAAAGAAGTGAAGCAGCCAAGACTTCAACTGATGCCTCTATGGGATACTCACATCGTAAGCAGTGGCTTTAACCGCTATGCCACACTAACAGCCCAATTTTGTGTGTGTATCTATGTGTGTATGTATAGATAAATAGATAGATAGGTAGAGATATATAAACTACATATAGATATATACAACTATATATATAAATACATATGAAACTAAAATCCATGGAAGAAAGTATCCCCTGTGTTTAGTGAAAGTCTGCCTGCCGGAAGTGTGCTTTGTGATAGCTATTTCTCTCTCTCTTTTTTTCAGATTTATTTTATTTTTTCACTAGGAAGTCAGATATACAGAGAGGAGGAGAGACAGAGAAAGATCTTCTGTCCAATGATTCACTCCCCAATTGGCTACAACAGCCAGAGCTGAACCAATCCAAAGCCAAAAGCCAGGAGCTTCTTCCGGGTCTCCCATGCGGGTGCAGCGTTTCAAGACTTTGAGCCATACTCGGCTGCTTTCCCAGGCCACAAGCAGGGAGCTGGGCGGGAAGCAGAGCTGCTGGGATTAGAACCAGCACCCATATGGGATAGAGGCACATGCAAGATGCGGACTTTAGCCACTAGGCTACCATGCTGGGCCCTGTGATAGCTATTCTTAAGGAGTACAACAGTTAGGCCATACCTTGGGATGCCAGGATCCCTTGTCAGCATGTCTGGGATTGAGTCCCAGCTTCACTCCTGATTCCAGCTTCCTGCTAATGTGCACCGTGGGAGGTAGCAGGTGGTAACTCCCAGGTGGAAGAGCCAGATTGAGTTCCTGGCTTCCGGCTTTGGCCTGGCCTAGCCCCAGCCGTTCACATTTAGAGTGCACCAACTTATGGGAGATCACTCTCTCTTTAACTGTCAAATTCAAGAATATGTTTCAAAAATCAAGAGTCATGAACTCTGACCTTATTGTATGGTTAGTGTTTTCAACATTTGCCTTGAAAATGTCACAGACCTCAGCCAAAGCATCCCAGGGCCTTTGGCAGCTGTCTCCTGCATCAGCCTGGCTCAGGGCAACCAGGCAGAACAAGGCCCTGCCCTTAGCTGGGTCCTGCTGTACAGGCTGCAGGCACAAAAGCAGCAGCAAGAGCAACTCAGGCCAGACTTTGTGAAGAACTGCCAGTTCCCTCTGAGAGTGGCATCCTAGGTCATGAGCCTAGGGCCATCCCATGTCATGGGGCATTTCTGACTCCAGGTCCAGGCTTCCAGGAGGAAGTAAAAAGAACCACCTAGCAGGACAGTGAGGTGGGGGGTGGTGTGAGCGATGCCTGCAGCTCCCATTCCAGACCATTGCCCAGCGCCCCTCCCCCTGTCCTTCTGCTCTCCCCTGGACACAGAAAGAGGCCTGGAGAGCCCTGTACCTACTCAGAGATGCCACCTCTGGTTGGCCCTCAGGGAGCAGGACTCTGAAGAAAGAATACTACCCCTGCACCCTGCACCCTGCACCCTGCACCCATCCCACCAGGGCTCTCTGCAGAGTCAGTGCATGGCCTTCTATCAGAGAAATTGCTGCAGCAGCCCAGATAGGTGCCCCCTTTTAACAAGGAAACCAGCTCAGCGAGGTTAGGGAACTTGGCCAAGGTCACACAGCTAGTTACAGGCAGTCAGAAATGCAATGTCAGCTGATGTGCTTCTCAGCAGCACCACCTCCTCTCAAGCCCACTTCCCTGAGGGGCCTTCAGAGAGCAATGATCCCACTATTCTGGACACAGCCTGTGTGTACATTTGTATCTCATTTACGTAAGAGGGGCCACAATACATAGATGTCCTTCCCTCTCGCCGTTCCTCCCCCTTCTGTCAGGCTTTTCCTCCTTGGCATCTTGGCAGGTTGGGGAGCACCATCTGGTCCCTTCTGCTGCCAAGGATGCCCCTGCTGCTTCCCAGTATTCCTGCCTGCCAACTACTACCTGGAGCCTGAGGCCCTGTGCTGCTGCCCCTCGCCTGGTTTCATGGGGGAGGCGCCATGGAGCAAGAACAAGCAAATTGGGGTGGGGAAAGACATCTTCAGACATTGACAAGTCCTCGGTCTCCTGGCTTCTGTCTCTAGTCCCAAATTTAGCTGGCTTCTCGCCTCCCACGCCTGCCCGCTGCTGTCTGGAGCGCCAGGAAGCTGCGAGGAAGATTGGGACGGGGAGAGGGAAGGTGGAAGCCCAGAGCCAGAGCCTTCAGTATTGAGGAGGAAAGGAAGATATGGGCACTGGGGTGGGTGCTGGTGGTCTGGTCTCCCTTCATTGCTCTCTGCACCGAGTCCTGCCCACATCAAAAACCAGTGTGACTGCTGAGCCCTCAAAATCGAACACTTAGTATGAAAACATTCATGTAAAAGATTGTGGGCTAAATCACCTTGCAAGCACCAGCATCCCATATGACTGCTGGGTTCGTATCCCAGATGCTCCACTCCCTGTTTATGGCCTTAGAAAGCAGTAGAGGATAGCCCAAAGTCTTGGGACCCTGCACCTGCATGAAAGACCTGGAGGAGGTTCCTGGCTTCTTGCTCCTGCCTCCAGATTGACTCGGCTCTGGCCATTGTGATCATTTAGGGAATGAACCAGCAAATGGAAGATCTTTCTCTCTGTCTTTCCTTCTCTCTATAAATCTGATTTGCCTTCCCAATAAAAATAGTAGATCTTAAAAAAGAAAATCGCAATTTTTTTAATTCATTACATACATAGTGACAATGTTTGGGATTACTGAATTAAATATAAGGAGAATTGCACCCATTTAATATGGGTACTAGCTTACTTAAAATAACATTCATGGCTTGCACTATATTTCTTTTGGCTGACTCTGTTAACCCGGTCCCCTAGTTGAAGCAGTTGCTGTTCCATGAAATGTTTCACATGGAAATCTCTTTGGAGCTGAATGTTCTTTGTTACTCCTCTGCCTTTGGGGTACCCCTCACACTTAAGACACTACCATGTAGGGTTCTGTTTTTAACCTTGGTAGACTGAATTTATTTTTTTATTTTTTAAATTTTTTACTTTTTGGTAGATTGAGTTTAAATTAACTCTTGTTCTTTATAAGCTGTGCAATACTGGGCAGATTAATTAATTTATCTGTGCTTGTCTTTCACAATAACAAAGAGGGAATATTATGAGTGCCTCTAGCAGGAAAACTTCTGTGAGGATAAATGAGTTAATATGCAAAAAGAACTGGGAAATTTCTAGGCAGGGTAAGGACAGGCGCTCAGCGGTTAGGACATTGCTTGGGCAGCCCACATTACAGGCTGGAGTGGCTAGATCAAGTGTGGGCTGCTCTGCTTCTGATCCGGCTTCCTGCCCATGCACACGCTGGGAGGCAGCAGGCAATGGCCAAAGGACTTGTGTCTCTACCAACTCACAACGCAGACTCAGACTGAGTTCTGGGTTCTAGCCCAGGCTTGGCTGATACAGGCATTTGGGAAAGTGAATTCAGCGGATGAAAAACCTCTATCTGTCTTTCAAATAAAATGAAAAATAAGTATTTCTGAATTGGAAAGCAGGGCATCTGGCATGTGGCAAGGACCGTGATCACTGTGTAGCTGTGATTATCTGAAACTCTGACAGCTCCTTGCTAGTTTCTTGGGGCTACATGGATCATCTACTGTGACTCCTGGGATGTGCTTGCTTTCTTTAAGTAACTTTTTAAAAATATTTGCTTATTTTTATTTGAAAGGTGGATTTACACAGAGAGAAGGAAAGACAGAAGAAAGAGAGAGAGATCTTCTATCTGCTGTTTTACTCTATTTTACTCCCCAAATGGCCACAAGGGCCAGAGCTGGGCTGGTCCAAAACCAGGCGCCAGGAGCATTCTGCAAGTCTCCCATGTGAGTGTAGGGACCCAAGCATCCTCCACTGATTTCCCAACCTGAATCAGAAGTGGAGCAACTGGGACTTGAACCGGTGCTCATGTGAGATGTCAGCACCACAGGAGGCTTAATCCACTACACAACCGTGCCAAGCCCTGGATGTTTCCTTTTATCCATTCCTCCACTGCTGGTCACCATCACCCTTCTGAAATTCAGAGAGGCTCAGTAACCTATCCAGGGCCATACAGTGAGACAGTGGGATGTGCACTTCACTGCTCCATGGTGGGCCCAGAGCCCTGAGTGGCACCACTCCATGCCACCTGTCTACGCAAATATCCCCTGAGGCCCTCCAAAATCACACGCACACACCTCTGCCTCCTCCTCCTTGCTCTAGGTCCCCATCGACATCCAGGATCCAGAGATCTGAGTGGCCACCCAGGAGCTAACCGCCACCATGTTGCAAGTCCCCAGCATGCAGGACTCTGGCTCCAACCGGTCCTCAACCTCTGCCCAAGAGCGGCCTTCCTCTGCGAGCCAAGCTCCACCCCCGACTTCTCAGGCCACAAAGCCCTCATCCATGACCCTGCCTGCCAAGTCTAAAACCTCCAGTTTCCGTCGCATGCGCCGGATCATTGCTGAGGACCCTGAGTGGTCACTGGCTATCGTGCCCCTCCTCACAGAGCTCTGCATTCAGCACATCGTCCAGAACTTTCACAGTGAGTCTGGCCCTGCGGGACGCCCAGGGGCTCACCGGCATGGGGACGGGTGGTGGGAACAGCCTGGAGCCGATATCCCAGCACCAAGACCCCCAAGTCCCCTGACCTCCAGGTTGTCCCCGGTTTCCCACACAGCACCCTCATACCAAGCCTAAGCTTCCCTTCCTCTCAGGGTGAAGATGGCATCTCCTGCCGTGCCTTTAGCCAGGGCTCACCGAACCCCCTCTCACACTGTGCCCTCCTCCATGCTGATGCCACCTTCTTGCTTTTCCTTTTTTTATTTTTTTAAGATTAATTTGAAAGAGAAAATCAGAGAACTCTTACATCTGCTGCTTCATTCTCCAAATGGCCACAATAACCAATTCTAAGCCAGACCTAAGCCAGAAGCTAGCAAATGCACCTGGGTCTCCCATGTGGGTGTAGGGACCCAAGCAACTGGGCCATCTCCCACTGCTTTCTCAGTCCTATTAGCAAGGAACTGGATCCAAAGTGAAGCAGCCAGGACTTGAACCAGCACCCCTAGGGGATGCCGGTGCTGCAGCCCAGTAGCTCTCCCTGCTGTTTCCATCACTTACTCATGCAAAATCCAGCCTGCTTGTACAAAATACCAGCTCCTTACACTTGCTGGTCCACTTCCCTGGCAAGCTGTACTCCACTCAGACCAGTAATGTCTATAGACACTGCCCCTTCCTGAGAGGAGCAGGCTACTTCTCCCACTGGCTGGGGAGCCCCCTGAGGCCAGGGCCTCCTTTGTCCACGGCTGCACTCCTTTTGTTTTTTGTGGTTTGCCTCTCCCTCACTAGAATAAAAAAGCGGAGAGGAAGAAACTCTCTTTGTTCTCATTCCTAAATCTCCACACACAGAATAGCATGTGGGTTATATTAGGTGCTCACAAAAGTTTATATTTTTGATATTTGTTAGATTGGGACTTCCAGTCTGAGATTGCCTCCTCCATCAGACTAGATGATAATGATGGTTGGTCCCGGATCTCAGACTCGAGCTCCCTGAGACCAGATCCTGATGGCCCACCCATCAGGCAGGGAGCACCCCAATGCCAGGCCTATGTCTCCTCTCAGCTTGAGCCTTCCTCAGACTGAAGTTCCCCTGGGGCGTTTCCTCATTGTCCCAGACAGGTGCAACTGGGGACTCCTAGGTGACCCCCATTGTCCTCTCTCTGTTCCCAAAGACAACCCCATCCTGAAGCAACTGCTCCCAGAGCACCAGCAAAAGGTCCTGAACCACCTGGCACCCGACCTGCCACTGACCGTGACCGCTAACCTCATCGACCACGAGAGCTACTGGCAGCGCTGTTGCATGCAACGATGGCCAGTGTGCCATGTGGCCGAGCACGGTGGTAGCTGGAAGCGCATGTTCTTTGAACGGCACCTGGAGAACCTGCTCAGGCACTTCATCCCGGGCACCACGGACCCGGCTGTGATCCTCGACCTGCTGCCGCTCTGCAGGAACTACGTGCGCAGGATCCGAGTGGACCAGTTCCTCCCCCCAGTGCGGCTCCCACCCCCGCCCCACGCCGGGGACCATTCGGACTCGGGCAGTGAGGGAGAGCTGGAAGAGCCCATCATGGATCACTACCAGCTGGGAAACCTGGTGGCTGGCCTGAGCCACTTGGAGGAGTTGGACCTGGTGTATGGAGTCAAAGACTGTGGCATGAACTTCGAGTGGAACCTCTTCCTCTTCACCTACCATGACTGCCACTCCTTGGCAGCCACCATTAAGGCATGCCACACCCTCAAGGTACCATTGGCCCCCAGCTGCCGTGCTTCGCCCCACTCCCTCAGATCTCTGAGAGTCCCTCTGTGTCATCTTCTTCTCCTTTGCTGACTCAGGCTTGTTTGTATTTATGCATCTTGCACCAAGCCAGCAGGTTCCTGGGGCTGCTGATCTAATCTAGACACTGTGCAGCCCCCATACTTGGCCCCAGTTTATCACTCAGTCAGGGAACCAACATCTGCATTCCAGGCCCTGTCCTAGGTGCTGAAGACACAACGCACAGCAAAATTAGGTCATTTGTGCTTCTGGAGCTGACAAGCTGGTGGGATGAAAGACACTCATCAGCAGTGATATAAATGTGAAACTGTGACTAGAATACAGTTGCCAGATTTAGCAAATAAAAGTGCAAGACACCCAGTATTTGAATTTCAAGAGTGGGCATGTGACCGTACAATAAGGACACTATTTGGGGATGTCAGTACACTATACTGGAGTGCCTGGGTTCACTTCCTGGCTCCTGATTCCTGATAATGTGCACCTTTAGAGACAGAAAAAGGTGGCTCCTCCTTGATTTAGCAAGATGGAGGTCCCTGCCTGGGGACTGTGGCAGTGAAGTGCCAAGAGCAGAGATCAGGTAGCTATGGTTTATGGGGGAGAGTAGAAGTGAGGAATGGGTGACTGTGTTCAGTTTTTGCTCTGTTTTGTTTTGTCAAAAACTTTGCTGTTGGACCAGCATTGTGTCACGGTGGGTTAATATACCACCCCATGAGTGTTGGTTCGAGTCCTGGTTCTCCACTTCCCATCTAACTCCCAGGGAAAACAGCAGAGAATGTCCCAAGTACTTGGATCTCTGCTATCCATGTGGGAGACCTAGATGAAGATCCTGGCTCCTGGCTTTGCCCAGCCTCTGACCGTTGTGGCCATTTGGGAAGTGAACCAGCAGATGGGACATGTCTCCTTCGTCCTCTGTAACTCTGCCTTTTAAACAAAACGAAATTTAAAAACTTGGCTGTGGGGCAGGCAGATAGAGCAGTACTAGGTGAGAGCTTTCACCTTGCTTAAGAAGAAACTTGACTGTGTTTGCAAACAAGGTTAAGATCCTATCCAGCTGCAAGAAAGGGATTGACTATGGCAGGGAGACCAGGGAAAGTTCCTGAAGGGAGCAGGAGGATAGGATCTAGGGCAGAAGTGGCCCTGGAGAAGGGGAGAGGGGAAGTAAGAGGCAGTAAGTCTGTGTTTGCTGTCAGTAAAGTGAAGGATTCTGTTGGGAGCACCTGGTCCCTCCAAGTCAGAGGAGGTTGGAAAAGGTTGAAATTGTTGTCTAAGATGGTGAGTGTATTATCAGAGAACTGAAGGGCACACAGCACTGAGCGCCCATAGGTGGTTTCAATCATGCCCACCAGTCCATCTGGGGACATCTTCTGTGATGTCAGATTCTTGGGCAAAACACACAGAAAATAGAGATGGGCGTTGACCCAGCCTTGCAGCTTTGCAGGTAGATTGAGGAAGAAGCCAGAGGCTAAGAGACCTTAACCCCAACTAGAAGGGAGGTTAAAGGAGAGAGGAGACTGAAGGCTGCATGAGAGCATAGCCCCCCGAGGGCAGAGAGGTGGAACAAGGCAATAGGAGGTGGGGTGGGGGGAGTGCCCATCAATAATGCTCAAAATGCTCATCCCCCTCCCTGCTTCTTCCCCTCCCTACCTTTCTCCCAATTCTGACCCTAATAAAAATCCTCTGCTCTAAGCCTCCATTATCTACATACAAAATGGAGAGAACTTGCTCTACTTTATCAGGACACTATGCATTAGAGATGATGCTTATGAAATCTTCCAGAAGCATGCCAACACATAATAATGGCTCAGTAAGGGTTGTGGTACAGCAAATGAAGCTGGTGCCTGGGATGTTGGCATCCCATATGGGTTCTGATTCAGTCCTGGCTGTTTCACTTCCAATCCAGCTTCCCACTAATATGCCTAAAGAAACAGTGAAGTTCACCCCAAGTATTTGGGCCCCTGCAACCCTGAGGCAGACCTGGAAGAAGCTCCTGGCTCCTGTCTTTGGACCAGTCCAGCTCCAGCCATTGTGGCATTTAGGAGCATGAACCAACAGATGGAAGATCTCTCTCTTTTTATGTCTCTCTCTCTCTGTAATTCTGCCTTTCAAATAAATAAATAAATAAATATTTCCAAAAAAGTAATGATTTCTTAGTAAATAGCAACCTCTTTCCCAACTACCCACCACCACTTGTGCACCACTCCACTAGGTCAGGTAGGCCTGCCTCATCCAAGAGCCAGCCAGCTGAGCACAACCTCAAGCCTCCCTGTGGCTTCCCTTTCTACCTGTAAGAAGCAGATAGGGGGCAGGCCTAGTGGAAAGGCAGAGTTACAGAAAGAGTGGGAGAAACAGAGAAAGACCTCTGGTCCATTGGTTCACTCCTCAAATACCTGCAATAGACAAAGCCAGGAGCCAGGAACTCCATCTGGGTCTCCCATGTGGATGGCAGGAATCCAAGTCCTTGAGCCATCATCCACTGCCAGCAAGAGTGCACATCAGTAGGAAGCTGGATTAGAAGTAGAGCAGTTGGGACTCAAGACAGTACTCCAGCGTGGGATGCAGAAATCCCAGGGGTACCACAACACCTGCTCAAAATGAATGCTTCTTGGGGCTACTGCAATGGTGTAGCATGCTTCAACATCCCATATGGGCACTGGTTCAAGTGCCGGCCACTCCAACTCCCTGCTAAGGGCCTGGGAAAGCAGTGGAACATGACCCAAGTGCTTGGGCACCTGGATCACTCCTGGTCCCTGCCTTTACCCTGGCTCCGCTCTGATCATTGAGGCCACTTGGGGAGGAAACCCGCAGACAGAAAATCTGTGTTTTTTCTCTCTTGTGTTTCTTTCTCTAACTCTGCCTTTCAAATAAATAAAATAAGTCTTTTTTTTTTAAGATTTGTTTTATTTGAAAGTCAGATGTACAGAGAGGAGGAGAGACAGAGAAGAAGATCTTCCATCTGTTGATTCACTCCCGAAGTGGCTGCAATGGCCGGAGCTGCACCAATCTGAAGCCAGGAACCCAGAGCCTCTTCCAGGTCTCCCACATAGATGCAGGGTCCCAAGGCTTTGCACTGTCCTCAGCTGTTTTCCCAGGCCACAGGCAGGGAGCTGGATGGAAAGGGGGGACTGCCAGGATTAGAACCGGTGCCCATATGAAATCCTGGTGCATGCAAGGTGAGGACTTTAGCAACTAGGCTACCACGCTGGGCCCTAAAATAAGGGTTTTTTTTTTAATTAAAAAATAAATGCCTTTAAATATGAGTAAGCAGATATTTTCTCCCCAGCTGGCCACTGTCATAGACCCCTTCTGTACCTGCCTGCAGGTCTTCAGGCTAACCCGCAGCAAAGTGGACGATGACAAGGCACGCATCCTGATTCGAAGCTTGCTGGATCACCCAGCCCTTGAGGAGCTAGACCTGTCCCACAACCTCATTGGGGACCGTGGTGCCCGTGGGGCCGCCAAGCTACTGTTGCACAGCCGCCTGCGTGTGCTCAACCTGGCCAATAATCAGATCCGTGGGCCTGGTGCGCAGTCACTGGCTCACGCCCTGGCATACAACACTAACCTCATCTCCCTCAACCTGCGCCTCAACTGCATCGAGGACGAGGGTGGCCAGGCAATTGCCCATGCCCTGCAGACCAACAAGTGCCTCACCACACTACACCTCGGGGGCAATGAGCTGTCTGAGCCCACAGCCACAATCCTGTCCCAAGTGTTCACTGTCAATACCACGCTCACCAGCATCAATCTGTCCTGCAACCACATTGGACAGGTAGGGGTGTGTGTGTGTGTGTGTGTGAGACTAGTTCAACTGCCCTGAGAAACTTGCAGGACAAGTGTTAAGATCACAGACGTGAGGCTGGCATCGTGGTATAGCAAGCTAAGACTCAGTGGCACCAGTTCGAGTCCCAGATTCCCTAGTTCCGATCCAGCTCCCTGCTAATGCACATGGAAAAGCAGCAGAAGATGGCCCAAGTGCTTGGGCTCTGGCACCCCAAGTGGGAGACCTGGAGGAAGCAACTGGCTTCTGGCTTCAAATTGGCTCAGCTGCAGCAATTCTAGCCTTTTGGGGAGTGAACCAGTGGATGATCGTTCTCTCTGTCTCTGTAAATCTGCTTTTCCAATAAAACAAATAAATCTTTTAAAAAAAAAAAAGTATACATACAGGGTCTGGCATGGTAGCCTAGTGGCTAAAGTCCTCACCTTGGAGGCTCTTGGATCCCACATGGGTGCCCGTTTGTATCACGGCTGCTCCACTTGCCATCCAGCTCCCTGCCAGCTATGGCCTGAGAAAGCAGTCGAGAATGGCTCAAAGCTTTGAGACTCTGCACTCACATGGGAGACCTGGAAAAAGCTCCAGGTTCCTGGCTTCAGATCAGCTCAGCTTCGGCCATTGCAGCCACTTGGGGAGTGAATCATCAGACAGAAGATCTTCCTCTCTGTTTCTCCTCCTCTCTGTGTATCTGACTTTGTAATAAAAATAAATAAATCTTTTTTAAAAAAAGAAAAGACTTTATTTATTTGAAATGCTGACCTATAGAGAGACAGAGATCTTCCATCTGCTAGTTCACTCCCCATGTGACTACAACTGCTGGGTCTGGGCCAAAGCAAAGCCAGGAGGCAGGAGCTGCTTCCAGGTCTCCCTAGGGGTGCAGGGGCCCAGGCACTTAGGCCACATCCCACTGCTTTCCCAGAAACAAGTAGGGAGCTGGAATAGAGTGGAGCAGTCGGAACTTGAACCCATGCCCCTATAAGATGCTGGCATTGCAAGCAGTGGCTTAAATTGCTGTGTCACAAACCAGCCCCATTATGTAATATTTGTACACCTGTGAGAAAATGCAGTGCAGTACTTCAATTGGTGCCTACAGTGTGAGCTGGCCAAATCAACCAATTGGCATTTCCACCTTTGTACCCTCTTCCATGCTGTTGATATTACAAATTTTTATTTTTTGATGATCTACAGTGTTGTGCAAAGAGAATCTGTTGCTTCGATATGATTGTGTTTTGTGCCAAAAAACATACTCTATACAAACTTTTTAAGAGTATTTTTTTAAGATTTACTTATTTTTATTAGAAAGGCATACTCAGGGAGAAGAGGGACAGCGAGAAACATCCTCCGTTTGATGGCTCACTCCCCAGGTGGCCGCAACGGTCATAGCTGAGCCAATCTGAAGCCAGGAGCTTCTTCAGAGTCTCCCATGTGGGTGCAGGTTCCCAAGCCTTTGGACCATCCTCAATTACTTCCCCAGGCCACAAGCAGGGAGCTGGAAGGGAAGGGGAGCAGCCAGGATACAAGCTGCTACGGGATCCTGTCCTTTGCAAGGGGAGGATTCAGTCCATTGAACCATCATGCCAGGTCCTAAACATTTTATTTTACTTGAAAGCCAGAGTTAAAGAGAGAGAAGGAGAGAGAGAGAGAATCTTCCATCTTCTGGTTCACTCCCCAAATGGCTGCAACAGCCATAGTTCAACAGCCAAACTGGGCTGATCCTAAGTTGTGAGCCAGGAGCTTTTTCTGGGTCTCCCACATGGGTGCAAGGGGTCATCCTCCACTGCTTTCCCAGGCCATAAGCAGGGAGCTGGAATGGAAGTGGAGCAACTGGGATTTAAACTTATGCCTAAAAAAATAAAAACAAACAAGCAAATAAACTGATGCCTATAGGGAATGCTGGTGCCACAGGTGGAGGATTAGGGTGCTCTACCACCAAGCCAACCCCTAACATCTTTTGTTTTAAAATTTATTTAATTTTTAAATTAAGATTTCCTTCTGCCCCTCTCCCAGGATGGCGGCAAGCAGCTCCTGGAAGGCATCCTGGACAACAAGACCCTCCTGGAGTTCGACCTGCGCCTGTCAGATATAGCCCAGGAGAGCGAGTACCTCATTGGCCAGGCCCTCTGTGCCAACCGAGAAGCTGCCCGCCAGCGCACCTTGAATTCCAACCACCTCATGTCTTCCATCACTGCCAAGAACCTGTACAACTCCGTAGGATAAGACCCCAGACATGACTCACTGCCCTCCACTTCCATGTCTGCTGTACTGTCACACTGCTCAGGGAGTTGGGGCAGAAAGTTCCTGGGAAGGGGAGTGCTCAATTATGTGTGGATGCAGGGAAGAGGGGGCCCAGGATGAGATCTAAAGCCAGAAACAGTCAGTCTCTGTCCCTGGAGAGAATGTGCAGCTGGGCCTCCTCCCTCAGGTGGCCAATCACTTCCGGGAATGGGAAAGGCTGCATGACAAGATACACCTGCTCAGACTCCCAAAGGGACCATCCACACCTGGATCTAAGACAGACCTGGACCTTGCCCTCGCCCACCAACACACACCCTGTCCCTTGCCACACACACACCCCTCTGAGTACAATAGCGCCCCCTGCCAGTTCCACCTCCCTGTCCCCTGATCCTGTGCTAAGTGATCCAGTTCCACAGGTCACACTATTACCACAGTCCCCAGTCTGGCAAGGGGACAACAGAGGGATCGGGGGAGGGCTCAGACCAGTAGATTCCCTTGGAAGGGTGTTGTCGGGCAGCATGGCCCTCTCCCTTGCATCCAGAGGTAGCCCACCAGTGGCAGGAGGTAGGGAATAAGTGCCACACTGAAAAGGAAGTCAGTGAATCATCCCCAACTTTATTATCCACCCGTTTGATTTCTACAATCTTTGCGCCTAGAAATCCACAACAGAAAGGCCACAGTGTGATGCACCCAACTGACTGAGAGACTGGCCTTCTCTGCAGCCAGGCCCAGCCCAGCCCGTTCACCCCAGGACCCCTGGAGCCTTCCGGGAGCCCTGCAGGAGTCCTCCCACCCTGAAGCCATCCCGAACAGAGTCACCTCAGCCCAGGGGGGGCCACGAGAGAAACCACAGGTGCATTCAGGCTGAGCCCCACCCCCACCCAGAACCTTCAGAGACATTCCCACAGTCCAGGGGCACCTGCTCTTCAGGGCCTCCTTCCAACAAGCGGGCATTAAGCAGAGCACCAAACGGGGCTCGGGAAGTGACCGCACATGTGTGCCTGTCCGGGCCACCGAGATTCTGTCTGCACCTGATTCCTTCTGACAGTTCCCAAGTGCAAACATGTAAGGTGTGTGTGTGTGTGTAGCCACAGCTGCTAACAGAGGTTCTAATTAGAGAAACAAGAACATTCAGTGTAAAGTTTAATTTTAGAGATTAATTAATTTTCTGGTTTTCCCTGGCAATCAATAAAGCTACCAAGAAAAAAAAAGAACAGACCAAGACTTGGTTTCTCTCTAAATCTGTGCGTGTGTGGGAGGTGAGGCTGTCCATGTGAGAAGACCGAGGCAGAGATGGTCGATACAGGCAAAAATAACAACAATAATAATAACAGGGCTCCCGCCCCCTTCCCTCTTCCAAGGCCAGGCTCTGCCTTGGGATGGGGCCCAAGACAGCAGGAGCCCAAGCGCCTCCCTTCTTGGAGCCGGAAGGAACCTGGGCTACCTTCACATAAGGGCAGGACACCCAGGTGCCAGCTGGCCCAGAGATGGGGCCTGAGGTCACAGCTCACCACCTGCACTGCACAGGTGTCCAAGCAGAGGAAAAACAGAGGGGGCTCTCCAACCACCAGGCCCCACGAGGAGCACAGACTCGGGGTTCAGGTGGTTGGTTCGGTGCTGGCTGGCTGGCAGGCAGGCAGGCTGGTGGGTCACCTCCCCCTGGCCAGCCCCCTCCATTCTCTCTTCATAAACACAAAGTTCAACCTGCCAGGGTTCCAGGAACCTTGGCATCTCCATAGTAGATTGGACTGGGGACCCACACATTCCCCACCCACCACTCCCCAGGAAGAAGGGGTTTCCCAAAGGTGATGTTGCATAGGTGGAGGTCATGTGTATCCTTTGGAGGATGCACACCAGGCAGGCTAGAGACGGGAAGGAGTGGAGCAGGGGAGAGGGGTTCTGATGGCTGATGGCGCAGGTGAAGTGAGACGCCTCAGAGGTCAGCAGTGCCTGGGGTGGGGGTGGCCCAAGGGTTAGTCCCTGCAGCCAGAAATTCGAGCTCAGTCCCTGGGCACTAAATCTGCAGGGGGTGGGGGGGAGAGGGGATTGTACCAACGTTAGCCAGCGTGGTGGAGGGGCAGGGGTTGTACACAGACATGCACACTTAAACGCAGCAGCTGGAGGTCAGCACGGGGACACAGGGCGAGCCAGAGCCCTGGAGGTGGGGAGAAGGGAGCAGGACCAAGTCCATCAACTCCCCACCCCAGGTGCGGGGCATGACAGGATGCCACCTGTGAAGACCCTGGGACACACAGCAGGGACTTCAGCACGTGAGGCAGGGGAGACTGGAGGGGCCAAGCGAGAGACACAATTCCTACTTCTGGCCTTGAGCGATCCTTCAGCTAGAACTTGGACCCTTGGGGACAGACGCCAGGGACAAGCGCCCATCACTCCATTCCACAGACATCCTCACCGCACCCTGCTGCCCTGTTTCCAGAGCTCCTCCTTCAATCTCAGCTGTGTCCCATGCTCAGTCTTCTTACTCCCTCACCCTGGCCAGCTTGAGTGAGTGTCCCCTGGGCTCTGTCCCCCCACCCCCAGAGGCAGGGCTGAGCCCCGCCCTCTCCCCCACCCCGTGCAGATGTGCAGCGTCTGCACCGAGAGCATAGTTCCTCCAAGGACCCACACTCCTGGGACCCCAGTGAGATAAACAAGGGCAGAGGGAGCGGCCGCCAGGGTAGGCCAAGCTTTAGGGCCAGCGCCAAGAGAGGCCAACATTTCCAGGGCGCTCAGATGGCGCACTGGGGCTGCCATCTGGCACCAGCTTGCCAGCCCACTGAGTTCCGTAGGTGTGTAGGGGGGGTGGGGGGTGGGAGTAGGGGAATCCAGCCCTGCTGTTCACCAAACCACGCCCCCTGCCGTTGTAGCCAAGGCAACTCCACAAGGGAAGCCCAGGTTCCCTTCCCTACTCCCTCCCAGGGAGTGTCAGCCAGTATCAACACAGACCCTCTCCCTCTCCAGTACAGTCGCCAAGTAACAGTCAGAAGACCTGGGGTGGAAGTGAGGGTGGGGGGTGGAAAGGGAGGTCGAGTGTGCACGTCGGAAAGGTGGTGCCCCGTTAGGGATGAGGGGCTGTTAGAGGCAGGCGCTGTCCACCTCTCTCCCCAGCCACCCGTGTTTTTATGTACAGGGGCTCCGCGGGGTTCTTGGCCCATCGGGCCTTCCCCGAACCCAGCGCCCTCTCCTCGTCCCTATCCCTTGCAGTCGTTCCCTCCACGTGCAGCCTCAAGTCACCTTGCACCTCCCGCGCTGCTCGCGGGGGTGGGGGTAGTGCTGTGCACACAGGCCACGAGGGGCAGGAGGGCGGAGGGCGCGGGCCACTCCAGCGACCACAGGTCACAGTGAGGTCTCCACGCAGGAGCCGTGGCGGTGCAGCGGCCGGTGGCTGTGGCCCAGACACCCCTCCTGCCGGTGGACAATGAGGACGGGGAAATACAGGGCGTCGTGATAGGGCGGCGGAGGCCCGGCCTCCTCTTCCTCGTCGTCGTCGTCGTCTTCGTCGTCGCCCATGCTGGCCTGGCTGGACAGGCGCGTCTGCTCCGTGGGGCAGCTCGCCTCGTTGACGCTCCCGCTGCGGCTGCGCCAGAGGCAGCTCCGCCGCGAGCCATAGAGGCGGCCGAGCGAGAAGCGGCTGCCCCCGCAGCCCCCGGCACCACCGCTGCCGCCCGGCACCGGGCCGGCTCGCGGGCTGGCGCAGATGCTCAGGGCGCTGCGCGAGAAGATGGACGAGCTGCTGACGGCGCGCTGGCAGTGCTCACAGCTGCGCCGGAAAGGTGCCACGCCCGCTGCACCTGGGCCGCCCACTCCGCCGTAGCGACAGGTGGGCGCGTAACCCCCGGCCGTCGCCCCCGCGCCGCAGCGTGCCCCCAGTCCTGCCAAGTCCATGAGCACCGCCTCCGAGTAGCTGGGCACCAGCTGCTGGTTGGAGCGGATGTGCCACTCGAGCTCCGTGCTGTCCACCGTGTTGACCCGTGGTAGGCGGTGCGTGAGAGGGGGCAGCAGCTCGTCGCTGGGGCTCAGGCCGTCGCCCATGCTGCTCGCTGAGCCCGGGCCCTCCAGGCCGAAGAGCTTCTCCACGTGGTAGTGCGCATAGGCCGTGCGGTACTCCGCCAGCACCCGAAGCGGCCAGGACAGAGTGAGTAGGGCAGCGGCCCAGAAGGCCGAGGAGCAGGCGTACCAGGGAGGCCGGGTCGGGTCGGGAAAGGCCACCATGAACTCGCGAAAATCTACATTCTTGAGGTGCATGCCCTCACGCGCCTCCATGTAGTCGTCCAGACCCTCGTTCTCGGCGAAAAAGCGTGCGCGCTGGCACAGGTACGCGTTCTCAGCCTCCACGCTGGCGAAGCTGAAGCACTTGGTGAAGCGCAGCCGCGTGGCAGGCGCGCCCTCCAGCCCCACCAGCGCCTTGGACACGTCTCGGACGCCACAGCGAGCATAGTCGAACTCGGCCTCTGCCACGTGGGTGTTGACGCGTTCGTGATAGACCTGTGTGTTGCAGGGGAGGCAGCTGGAGTCGCGGGCAACGGACACCTGGCTCGGCTCATCTTCGCTGTCGGTGCCTGTTTCTGACTTGGGCACCTGCCGGAGCCAGCTGTCTGGCTTGGAGAGCACCTGAGGCCTTTAGCCTAACCAGCAAGTTAGACTTGAAGCTGGTTCTCACTCCCTTAGCAATTAAGTTTTGCCTCCCCTGGGTTGAAGCTGCCCGCCACCCTAAACTGCTTCTCCTCCACCCTGCCGGCACCTTGCCCCATCCGTTGGCCCCGCTGTCTGTTGTCGCATGTTTCACCCTGATCCCCACATGGACTCTCCGAAGGAGTGCCCCCCAAGACCACACTTCTGTGTGGAGTGTCCTTGTCCGGCCTTTGGCTGTCACTGAGCCCCCTTCCTGCACATCCACCATCTAACCTTGGAGTGCCAGCTGCCCTCCTTTATTCTCCACATGATCTGCCAGGCTGCCTTCTGCTGGGAACTTTGACCTTGGGATGCAGCAACTTTGGAGCTGCAGACCCTGGGCCAGTCACTGCATGTAGATGTTCTCCCCTGGGAAAGGGGACCCGGTGGGTCGCTGCTCTGAACAGGTGGGGCACTGAGCATGTTCACATTGAGCAGGCCACTTTCTGGAGTCCCTCTCTCCAGCACACACAAGCTATCTGACCTTGGGTAAATCCCTCAGCCACTTCAGTCTTCTCATCTGTAAAGTGGGTCTGATACTTACCCATCCCATAGGGTTGTGATGTAGTTTAATAACTGCAACTGGAGCCACACCTGGCTCTGACAGTGTCTGCTGCTGTGAACAAGGTTATGCCTGCCGTGCTGCCATGGCCATGGGGGTACCCACTGTGCCTCCCCACCTCCCCCCCGACACCCTCTACAGCTCCTCACCTGGGTGGTGGTGTAGGCATCTCCATTGCGGTAACGGGTGACCTGGCGGGTGCGGCGGACATAGTGGTAGCTGATGGCCTTCCACCAAATGCAAGGTGTGGCCTGCTGCATGCGGCCCACACGTTCCCGCACGCTGCTCACGTCCACGCGATGCTGCAGCTCATGGCGAGCCTGGCAGTGCCAGCACTCCACCAAGTAGACGGCATACAGCATGAGCAGGAAGGCCAGGGGGATGTAGACGTAGCCGTTGGAGCAGGGGCTGTCATGGTACATGAGGCTATTGCCCTGGTAGGCGCTGCTGAAGGTGAGGCGGGTCACCGTGGTGACGTGACACCAGGCCACGGCCCCTAGGCAGCCGTACATGAGCAGCGAGAGCAGGAGGCACTTCCAGTGGGACTCACGGCAGAGGGACTTGGTGAAAGAGGGCTGGATGGGACGCTGCTGCTCAGATGGGTGGGGAGAGGCGTGGGAAGGGAGACGGCAAGAAAGTGGGGAACCCGGCACAGAGATGGAAGCATGGAGGAGGGGCAGGGACCGGGGGCCAGAGAGGACAGGAAGAATCACACACAACAGGGGATGCCGAGTGACAACACGATCATGAGGGAAGCCAGGGACCAAAGATTGACACAGATGGGACCCAGTGTGAGCCATGAGGACAGAATAAGGGGTCAGGATGCCAGTCAGAGAGAGTACAGAGAGAGAGGGAACACCCCGCACAAGAGGCAGGGGCAGAGTGGAGCCAGAAATGGAGGCCCAGGGGGCAAAGACACGGATGGAGAGGGTGGCACCCAGAGGGACGGGTGCAAAGCCAGATGATGCCAGTGAGACAGGAGCAAGTGTGGTTGGAGAAGAGGGAGGACAGACAGACAGGCGTCAGCGAAGGCAGGTACCCTGACAGTCCCCTTCCGGGGGATGCAGGAGGCTGGGGAGGGACCCACTGACAAGGCGCCTCTCTACCTCCCAGTATGTCACATCGCTTCTACCCTACGTTCCAGAGGAGGTCAGCTCACCTGCCCATCCCTCACCAACAGCTTCCTAATAACTCCTCCAGCAGCCCAGGCTCTGTTTTGCTTCCCACAGTTCTGGACGCCTGCTCCCCTGTGAGTCAGTTTGTCTGACTGTTTCTCTCTCTGCCGTACCCCAGTAGCCTTCCCAGGGGTTCCAGGAGAGGGGACCCAGGGTCCCTGAAGGGAAAGCTGCCAAGGAGGAGGTATCCCAAAGGGTGGGGGCAGGTGGCTGGGGTGTGGATGGAGTGGGAACTGGAGATGGGAGTAGGGAAGAAGACTTGTGAAGTCCAGTCATTGGTCAAAAAGAAAACAGTGTTTGGTGCTCTCCCGGGGCCATCCATCAAAGTCCTTGGCACGCTCTGTCCCTCAGTTGGCCTGGTAAGTTGTTTACGAATCTGCTACCCACTTAGAATGAGTGAACCTGCGGGCAGGGCCCAGACCTGCTTTGTGCACCAGGATGCCTGCTCTGGGGTGCACGCCCAGCAGCTTCCTAATCAAGAACCACTGAGTTCTCACCATAGCCCATGCTTTCCCACCCCTTCTCGCTGCTGTCTGGCTTTGGGAACACCCCATGTCCCACCACACACACACACACCTCCAGTACATCGGTTCCTAGGGCCTAACCCCAGGGAAAGCAGTAGAAGGGAACCGGGGCCCCAGGGCTGGAAGGACAGCACAGCTGGGTGATAAGGGATGAGAGCTGTCAAGCCTTTGTGGGGGAATAGGAGCGGTCCTTGCAAAGAGTGTATGTGTGGACACTGTGTGCCCATCTGGGCATGTGCTTGTCCCAATGTGGGCACAGCTGAAAGCAGCTGTGTGTGTGCCCTGTGCTGCTCTGCTAGTGCAGTGTGGATGTGTGTGCACAAGTGTGCATGGGAGATGGGGCAGGAGGGGTCCTTTCTAGTACTTTCCTCAGTCCCTTTTTTGGCAGGTTGAGAACACCAGCAGGAGGGACCACAAAGCGGGGTAAGACTGCCAGAGCCCAGGCTCAGGACCCCATGGTGAGAGCAGCAGGGGCACACACCCCAGGAATTCTGGCCTCCACATAGCTGACCTTCTTAGGGCAGGTGGTAACCCCAGCACTTGCCAGGCTCCAGCCCTGTCTCTGTCGCCCTTCCAGAGAGCATGCCCCTGGGGTCAGGCAGGAATCCGCCCACCTCCCACTGGTTGCAGCTGAGCCCCCTCTCTCACCCCCGGGGTCCGCGAGGCTCCGCCCCTAAGCCCCTCCCCCTCCCCAGGACCCCCCGACCCCGCCCCCGGCGCGGCCCCTTCCCCGACACCGCGGACAGCTCCGGCCGCCAGGTGGGGGCGGAGGCGCCGGACTGCGGCTGCGGCGGCGGCCGGCTCGGGGTGCGGGGCGCCGGCCGCGCTGCGGCGGAACCGGCGGGGGCCCCGCGCGCGCGCGGCTGGGGGATGGGGTGCGGGGGGCCGATCCGGCTGCGGCCGCGCCCGGGGAAGGGGCGCCGCCAGCTCTCACCTCCTCTCGGGCGGGACCCTCGTCCGCCGCCGCCGCCGTGGGCTCCTCCGGGACCCCGGGGCCGCCGCCACCGCCGCCGCCGCCGCCGGCGCTCTCTCCCGCGGCCGAGCCAGGGGGGGACATGGCGTAGAGGGGGTGCGTCGAGCTCAGGACCTCCCGGGGGGCTGCCAGGGGCCGGGGGCATCCTGCGCGGGACCCAGCGGAGGGGGCGCAGGGGGCGGGGCCCTCACTGCTCCCCACCCCCCGGCCGGGGGGGAGGGGGCCTGGGAAGGGCACCGGGGGAGGGGGTGGCGGGAGGCGGGGAGGGGCTGGGGAGGGGGTCGGGGCGGGGAGGCGGGCTGGGGGCCGGGCTGGGGGGGCCGGGGCCGGGGGCGGGTGTCACCTTGAGGCCCTCGCGGCGCCGCTCCGCCTCCCGCCCGCTCCCGCCGCCGCCTTTTGTCTGAGCCGAGCCGGAGCCAGCGCTCCCCCCGCCCCGCTTCCTCCGAGCGCAGTCGTCGAGCCCCGCCCCCGGCCCCCCAAACTCCGCCTTCCCCGAGCCTCCCAAAGAGCCACCCCGCCAAGAGGAGAGGCGCCAGGGGCTCCCCGCACGCCTCGCGCCGAGCCCGCTCCCCCGCGCGCCCCTCCGGAGAAGCCTCTGCCCAGCCAGCGGCCCTCCCCATCCCTGGCGCCCGCGCCAAGTTCCTGGGGCTGACGGGTGGGGAGAGGAAATTCTTATTGCCAGGGTGCGTGGGCAAAGGGTTAAAGCTGGACTCAGACCTCAGAGGGACTGGGGAAAGGACCGGCAGAGGGCAGGGGGAGGACAGCTGGCCGTGTGGAACACCCGCCTCTCCTTGAACAAACCCCTAGGGAGGCGGTCAAGTGTGGACAGCCCCTGGGGCTGGCCGTAAGGAAGCCCACACTCCCTTCTGAGTCCTGGCTCTGCCGTGGACAGGCTGTGCGACCTTGGGCAAATGCCTTCTCCTCTCTGAACCTCCTTCTCCAGGGAGGGAATGGCCACCCTAAGGCGTGTAGGGCGAGGGGCGGATTGGAGTGTCACAGGCGGCACAAGCTGCCCTTCCAGCTGTCCACACCACACGGCTGCTGCTCCCTGTCCCCCTAAGAAAGACAGGCAGGAAACTGGCACAGGTGCGGGTCTTCAACCTTGCGTGCATCCATTCGGGGGAAAGGGCTGAGGCACCTGCTGTTTGGGCTGCACACCACAGAAGGGCACTCGCACAACAGCGCTTCCAAGTGACTGTGGTCCGGGCTGTGCAGGGTGGCACTGTGGTGGTCTCCTGCTCTGTGTCCGTGGTTGTCTCCCCCTTGCACCCAAGGATCTAGGCGGGGGGGGGGGGTGAGGGGCAGCTTTTGCCCGTCGGAGGTTAGCTGGAGGTGGAGCCTGCCTGCCCAGATGACCTCAGGAGATGGGGGCCAAGTCCCGAGGGTTGTGTGCTGTGTTCTCGGCCCTTGTCTAGGGCAGAAGGGCTCCACCTCCACCCTTCTCCCACTTCTGGTCCTGCCTTCATTTCCCAGCAGTAACCTCTCCAGGGGAGAAGATGGCCCTAACGTGGGCCCTTCCTGACTACCATGTAGTGGTTCTCATCTTTCTCCTGACTCTCCACTTGTCACTACTTCAAGGGCCTTGGAGAACGGGCAGCCAAACTTGGAGCTCCCCAGAGACAAAAGACCACCCCTGCTCATCGCTCTCCCACCCTCCACCACCATTTATACACGTTACCCTTCTGTGGAAGCTCCACCAAAAGGGGGTTGAAGGGAGGGGGAGGTGCAAGGAGCCAGCTGACCAGCTGGTCACCATGGAAACAGGGCTTGTTTCCCTGAAGATGAGCCTGGCTGGGGTGGGCGGGGGTAGGCAGTGGGGGCAATGACAAAGGGATCTGGGAAGCATTGGTGGAAAGAGAGGGGTGGAGGGACCCAGCCTTGCAGAAGACGCCTGCTGAGGAGGGGACCCAGGGACCTGGTCACGCTGCCCCTTGAGTCAAAGTCTCCAGGTCATCCTTCCAGATGACATGGCCATGGTGCATTCCCCAATCCTGGAGTGCCAGGAGGGCTCCCTGGCAGAGGGGAGGCCATGGTGCTAGGAGACATGGATGACTCACTGCTGACCTCATGTGGTGTGAAAAGGGACTGACACACCTGCTCGGACTGGCTTGGGGTACATTATTCCTTAAGTTCAGCTTCTGCTTGAATTAGGTGGGCAGTCATTTCACGCTCCTGGGTTCTGCATACCCGCAGGGTACTCAAATGCCTGCCTCGTGTGGTTTAGATTTTGATAAGGAAGGATTTCATTGAAGAAGCTGAAAGTGGGGCCAACGTTGTGGTATAGTGAGTAAAATCAACACCTGCCACAGCAACATCCTACGGGAGCTCCGTTTGGAGACCTGGCTGCTCCACTTCCCATCCAGCTCCCAGCTTGTGGCCTGGGAAAGCAGAATGGGGTGGCCCAAGGCCTTGAGGTCCTTCACCTATGTGGGAGACATGGGTAAAGCTCCTGGCTCCTGGCTTCAGATTGGCTCAGCTCCAGATGTTGCAGCCATTTGGGGAGTGAACCAGCAGATGAAAGAGCTTTCTCTCTCTTTCCCTTTCTCTGTAATTCTGCTTTTCAAATAAAAATGTATTTGAGGGAGACCGGCACTATGGCCTAGTGGCTAAAGTCCTCACCTAGAACACGCCGGGATCCCATATGGGTGCTGACTCTAATCCTGGCTGCCTTGCTTCCCATCCAGCTCCCTGCTTGTTGCCTTGGAAAGCAGTAGAGGATGGTCCAAAGCCTTGGGACCCTCACCCACGTGGGAGACCCAGAAGAGCTCCTGGCTTGTGGCTTCAGATCAGTGCAGCACCGGCCATTGTGGTCATTTGGAGAGTGAATCATTGGACAGAACGTATTTCTCTCTGTCTCTCCTCTGTGTGTGTGTGTGTGTGTCTCTCTCTCTTTATATATGCATATATATCTGACTTTGCAATTAAAAAATAAAATCTTTTAAAATGTATTTGAGGACCCAGAGTGATGGCTCAGTGGTTAAATCCTTGCCTTGCACACACTAGAATCCCGTATGGGCGCTGGTTTGTGTCCTGGCTGCTCTACTTCCCATCTAGCTCCCTGCTTGTGGCCTGGGTAAGCAGTGGAGGATGGCCCAAAGCCTTGAGTCCCTATGTCTACGCAGGCGACCCAGAATAAGCTCCTGGCTTCAGCTTGGACCAGCTCAGCTCCAGTCGTTGCAGCCACTTAGGGAGTGAACCAGAGGAAGAGGATCTTTATCTCTCCTTCTCTCTAAATCTGTCTTTCCAATAAAAATTTTAAAATCTTTTTTGAAACGGAGGGGAATGTGTTTTGCCACAGAGAATTAAGCCATTGCTTGTGCAATACCTATATCCCACATCACAGTTGTCAGTTTGAGTTCCAGCTACTCCACTTCTGATCCAGTTTTTTGCTAAATGCATGTTGGGAGGCAGCAATTGATGACTCCAGTCCTTGGGCCCCTGCCACCCATGTAGGAGGTCAAGCTGGAGTTCAAGGGCTCCTGCTGTGTGCATTTGGGAAATGAGTCAGCAGATGAAAGATAGCTCATCTTTTTTCTGCTCCTCTCTGTCGCTCTACCTTTCAAGGAGATAATGACAATTTTTTTAAGATTTATTTTTATTATTTTCTTATTGGAAAGGCGGATATACAGAGAGGAGAGACAGAGAGGAAGAGCTTCCGTCCGATGATTCACTCCCCAAGTGAGCGCAACGGCCGATGCTATGCCGATCCGAAGCCAGGAGCCTCTTCCGGGTCTCCCACGCAGGTGCAGGGTCCTAAAGCTTTGGGCCGTCCTCGACTGCTTTCCCGGGCCACAGGCAGGGAGCTGGAAGGGAAGCGGGGCCGCCGGGATAGAACCGGCGCCCATGTGGGATCCCGGGCGTGCAAGGCGAGGACCTTAACCACTTGCGCCACCGCGTCGGGCCCGATAATGACAAATTTTTAAATTGTCACTTATGTAAAGCAGACAGAGGGCCTGAGATTGCCCTACTGGCTGGTTCTTTCCCTAAATGCTGGCAGCAGCCAGTGCTGAGTCCAGCCAAAGCCAGGAGCCAGGAGTTCAGTCCAGGTCTGCCCTGTGGCTGACATGCCCTTCGCTGCTGCCTCCCAGGGTGCAGGCCAGTAAGAAGCTAGAGCTGGAAATGCAACTGGAATTTGAACCCTGGCACGCTAATATGGGATGTGGGCACCTGGCATGTTACCCAAAACCAAGTGCTGCAGCTTCTGGGTCTGAGGGAGAAACAAGTCAGGCAAGGAGGCTGGGGACACAGTCACTGTGACCCCCCCCCACACACACACACACAGGAATGCACAGCTCTGATTTCCTGGGACTTTCTCCCCAACACTCCTCCATCTCCAGGGCATGCCAAACAGCAGGTCACCGTTCCCGTGTGCCACACCACTTCCTTTTCCCACGTCTTGCTCAGAAGGTGGTTTCCCTGCCTCTCACCCCACTGCGGGCTCCTGCGTGTGACAGCTGTTGTCACCGTGTCACTGCTGGAATTGTCAGGGCATTTTGTGATGTTCAGGACCGGGATTGCTCTGTGGGGGTGGGGCTGGGTGCCGCAGTCCTGGGCTCTGCTTCCAGGTGGTGGGGTAGCAGAGACTCCCCCGTGTTTGGGGGCCGGTCTGAGTTAGTGGACAGCTGCCTGGACAGGCTGCTGAGATGCTGCCCACACTCACCCCAGCGTTCACCCCCAAGACATGAGAGGCAGACGGGGCAGGCCGCTTGGGCCAGGAATCCTGAGGTACTGCTGGGCAGAGGTGGGCGGGGCGCTGGGAGTAGGAAAAAGGAACAAAGCAGCCCGCCGTGGATGGGGCCCCGGTTGGGGACTCCTCTGTGGGTGGCGTCCCGGCCAGGGAAAGCAAACACACAGAAGGAGCCAGGGCGTTTTAGAGGGGTTGGGGGTAGGGCGTGGGTGGAGCCCTCCATATCGGGCAACCCAGCATGTCCGGGGGCTCCCCACTTCGGCCCCACCACGAGGAACTAAAGTTCCCTAACCACAGTAGGGCCCGAGGGAGCGGTAACCAGATATTGTAACCACGGGAACCCCATGACCCGCTCTGTGCTCCTGCGAAAGCTCACTTTCCAAAAAACACAGCATCCTGCCCAGGACACGTGACCACCTGGGGAGCGGATGCAGGGACCCCAGGGGAAAGCCGCCCCCGTTCAGATCATGGGTGTCCCCCTCCCTGTCGCGTCCCCTACTCCGGGCGCACTGCTAAGAAGAAGTGAGAAAGCAAGGGAAGCGGAGAGAAATGGGCGCGCACTCTCAGAAGCGAGGCTGCCTCGCCTCATCCACCAGCCACGTGCCCTCCTCCAAGACGCCCAGGGGTGGAGACCGGGAGGGGGCTGGACCCATAGAAGTAAAGGACAGGATGAGTGGATGTGATGGACGGACTGGCAGA